CTCAAAGACTCTCGAAACACTCTTTGACTTAAGCATCGGAGTGCCCACCTCGGGTAAAGACAACCCGAGCACTCTAATCATTCTTCTTGCAAAACATATCAGCTCAACCACCTCCATCTCGGCCTAGCATAGCTTGGCCCTGACCAGGAACTATTCGAATAAGCATCCGAGTCATCTAATACGAGGGAGCAATCAGATCACGCTACATCAATAAATAATATAATATATTATTTATATTATATCATCATGTTTTTATTACAATTTAAATCGAATTGGATTCAAATCAGATATTTGATAAGATATTCGAATTCAAATTCAAATCATAATATTGAAAATATGACATATTCTCATTGGATCAATTGGATTTCTTATTGAATTAGATTGGATATCCCTTTACGGAATCTGATCCAATCCGTTCTCAGCTCTATTAGAGGCTTGTGCCTCTTTCTCGTAAAGCCTAAGCCTCAAACCAAGATTGAAGCCACCAACTAATGGTGGTCCATTTGATAGGATCTTTGATTCATTTTAATAAAGACCTAGGATTAAATCTTGTTGTTGCCAGTAGGATTGGGAGGTTAATTAAGGTGATGTTTGGCATCAATGTTGTTTTTTGAGAAAATGGTGCCATGTAGGTGCCATATCAGAGGAAGCGGTGCTTCAAACAATGCCCTCTTGTTTGGTACCATTTTTCTAGAAAAAACATTGCTCTAGACCATGCCTTGGAAATCAGGAAAGTGTGGTCTAGAGCAACGGAAAATTCAATGTTTTCTAAGAAAATGACATGTTGCCAGCATTGCAATGATGTGGCATCATCTTGGACATTGGATAATATAGATGAATGTTGAAAACGTTGCTACTAGTACTAGTACCAAACAAAACCAATGTTGTTTTCTCAGAAAACGCCTATGTGGCAGCACCGGTTCCAAACAAAAAATAAGCACCGTTTTCTAAGAAAATGGTGCTTACAACTCCTCATGCCCAACACCGTTTTTATGAGAAAATGGTTCGATGTTCTCAGCACCGATGCCAAACACCTACTAAGGGAATGATGAGTGGTGGGATATCCCCTCACATTGTGTAGCCACCACTTCTCTTGAAGAGCATCCCTAACTACTTAGTGTCATGGACTCCTAGAGTGGGTAATAAGGCTTCTCATAGAATTGCTAAATTTTGTTCTTACAATTTCATCTACTAATACTTGGTCCTCTATCCTTGAGTTTCTTTGTAATATTATCTATGAGGATTATAACATTGAGTTTTTGAATAAAAACCATTGCCTTATGGCATTTCAAAAAGGAAAAGAAAGAAGAAAAAAGACAAGACTTAAGCCTTGAGGTACTGGGGGTTAGTCACTTTTGTTAATAGACTTTATTATTATTATTATTATTATTTTGAAAAGAGAAAGAAGTGTACTACACAACCAAAAATTTGCAAAACAAATAAGAAGAAGGGATGGAGGAAGGGAATTGATACAAAAATCTAGGGAAGGGGTAGAAGAAGAAAGAGCTTCATGAGCAAGCCAATCTGCTGCCTTGGTTAGCTTCTCTGAAAATATGCTGGTACCGAAGACCTCCCTCGAACAGAACTCTCTTCCTCAAGCAGCAAGAGATGATTTCTTTCAAATTCCAAGGAACTTCCACCTTTTTGTTGAGGCATGAGATAACCGATAATGAATCACCCTCAATTATAATAGGATGCTCCCTATAGTTTGTTGCTTGAGTATGAGCTTCCCATGCAGCCCATGCTTCCGCTTGGTTGATGGTACAGGTGCCAAGTTTATATGGCATCAAAATTGGTCATGAACAATACTAGCCACAGAACATTTTCCATCATTGTTATGAGAGGCATCAAAATTTATTTTAATAGTGCCAAATTTTGAAGCACTCCAAAAAATTGGTTTCCACACTTTGTCTGATGATGCACGATCTAGAAGCTCCTACCTAGAGAACTGCCTGGACGTACTCATGTGGCTAGCTGGATCAATTTGCTAAGTAGTGCTTAGAGGGACCGGGGTGGAAGACCCGGTGAGGTCGCTCTGATGCTTAAGTCGGTATTTTGTGTGTTTGCGAGCTAGTATGGATGCTAGAGAGCTTGAATGTGAGTAATCGCTCGTACCTGGACCCTAGGGGTTGATGCCCTTATATAGCTGAGCTATCATGGATCTCGCGAAACGGTTCCGAGATCTTCGGCCTGAGTGGATGATATCCGTTTCTGCTTTAGTCGGGGAGTAACTTATCAGTCAATGAAGTTTATCATTGCCGTCCGATCCAGGCGGGGAGAGGATAAGGCCTGCCGTTACGCGGCGTGATCCCATGATGTTCGGAGTCTGCTGGGAAGCTTCTAGAGTCGATTATGTGTCACTTCGGTTCCTGGGCCCCGAGTTGGCTTAGGCTCTGAGGTGTCTTTATGCTGAGGTGACTTTATGCCGAGGTGGCTGAACATCCGAACTCTGAAAACTGCTGACTAGGCTCCCCTTGCTGAGTTGTCGTTCTACGGGCAGATCACGTCCACGTGACCTTTACTTATTAGGTCGTGCCAAATTACCCCTCATCATTGTCCATTCGAGCAATGTCTTTATCTTTGCTCCCATTAAGAAACTCCAAAAACATATCAAGAGCCCATTCCAAAATAATTGGAATTGGAGTTGAAACATTATTGGAAGTTTTTGAGTTCCTATTTTTCCAGACAGCCCAAAGAACAAAAGCTAGTTTTTCGTTACTAAAAGAATTTTGTTTTCCTTTTTATTGCCAGCCCTTGTCCACCAATCACTTAAATTTTCATTCTCATTTGGTCCCTTGAGGGGAATGTTTAAGATAAGCCACATTTGCTTTGTGTGGGCACAATTTTTAAAAATATGATCAGTATCCTCCTCATCCCCACAAAAACTACAAGAGTCATCAACGTTATATCCTCTTTTCTTTATATGGCTTTTAGTAGGAAGCCTATTGTTGAGAAGGAAAAAGAGAAAAGTCTTTATCTTTGGGGGGGGGGATTTGATGTTCCAAATATTAGCCAGCCAATTAAAGGTACCGTTTGGGTTAAGAACAGAAGAGCATTTCAACAAATAAGTTGTTTTTATAGAGAACATCCCCTTAGGGTTGCACCCCCAAATAATTTTGTCCTACATAGAGTTAGGATCAATAAAAATTGTCTTAATATCTTGCCAAATTTGGTCAGATACCTCTGCCTTTATTTTGTCTTCATTCTAGCATTCTTTTCCAAAATCAATCATGTCCGAGACTTTAATGTTATGATTTGTCATAATCTCATAGTTAATGGTTTCAGATAGAGGTCTGTCATAAACCCAATTATCATGCCAAAGGCTAATAAACCTACCATTTCCTACTTGCTAATGAGTTCCTTTCTTAATGAGATCTCTGGCCAGGAGAATACCCCTCTAGGCCCAAGAGATACTCTTTTTAATTTTACAATTCCAGAAAATTTTCCTCCTCAAATATTTGCTTTTGATAACTTTCACCCATAGGTTGTCCTCCTCTTTTATGATCCTCCACCCTAACTTTGCCAAGCTGGCCTCATTAACCCAGTGGAGCTTTCTTATTCCCATACCACCCCACCTTTTAGGGGTGCATGTTTTTTCCCAATTCAGCAAATGAAGAGATTTATTCCCATTTGAATTGTCCCATAGGAAATCCCCTTGGATCTTGTCCAATTCATCTATAGAATTTTTTGGGATTCTAAAAGAACTCGCTATATATTGTTGCACCATATTAGTTGAAGAAATAATTGATAGGGAATGTTTTTTCCAATTTGCTAAATTTTGAACCATTTTCTCTTTGATTTTTCCAAAAGTACTCTTTGTAACTCTTCCAATGATTAGGGGAGCCCCAAGATAGGATTTGGAGTTAGTTTCCAATGGGATTCTAAGCATTTTGGATATTATCTTTTGAAACCTATGGGGCGTGTTTTTTGAGAAAAGTACCAAAGATTTATTGAAATTTGGGCATTGGCCCGAGGCCTTTGCATAGTTTGATAAGATTTTCTTGATTTTCAAGCAGGCTGGGATAGAAGTATTTGCAAATATAAAACAGTCGTCGGCAAATTGCAGGATTGAGATCTTTGGTCCCCTTCTTGAAATTCTACAGCCAATATGCTTTTCACTATCCATTGCTTTTTTTTTTCCAATTTCTTGAACAAAGACGATATATATCAGGAAAGAAGATCAATTCTCAAGAATGGGGATGTTTGGTAAGTCTTTTCGTGTGTTCTTTTGGGCTTTTCCAAGCTTGAAATAAGTTTGATCTTTCTCCATTTGACAATGAAAGACAAAGGCGTAAAGACCTATACTCTAAAAAGCTATGAAGCTTCTGTCTTTATTTGCCTAAAATCTTTTATTTGAGAACTTGGTAGATCAATAAGAAGTTGCCAAAGGACACCAAGTCCAACCAATGAGGTCCATGAGGTATTGGATTAATGACTTATGTGAATAGACAAGAAACCAAACTACCAAATGAGGGCTGGCTCGTTGGTGTACAAACTGGTTTGTTCCAAATCCTGCAACCAGCACTTTGGGGAAAAGCGGTGAAAGGGGAAATTACTAATGGTGCATGGCACCGAATACTAAGAAGAAAAAAAAGACAAGAAACCGAGCTTTTTTTTTTTTTTTCCTTTTGTTTATTTTTTTTCAAAACGAAAAACTCCAGTACTAATTCATTAAATTCAAGAAAGTATTTAATGAACAACACCTTCGAAACATTTTTTACAAGCCTTATATGCTTTATATTATGAGCTATATTATTTTTTTGTTATTCTATTTATATACACCACCCATAACATTTATCAAACCAGTTCAGCAGATTCAAAACATTAGCATACAGAACTTTGTGAGACCATCCTTCAACTGTTTTTAATTCATCCTTGGCCTGGTTGAACTCTTAGATAACACCCATATTTGATTATCATATTGGATTTTACTTGTTTGACCGTGTTGGGCCTCTTTGTGTGCATGTCAGTGTATTTGAGCGGAAGAGAGAGAAATTCGATTTCTGTTGGAAAGGTAATGGAATTTATACGAACAGCGAACCCTTGCCCGGGGCTGGAGGAAATCACAATGCACAATTTCACATCATCTAAAGACCAATTATATATATATATATAAGAAATAGTAATAATTTGGTGTGCAGAGGAAAGCGAAGCTCCACACATCACCCACCTCGTGTATTTTGTCCACTAGGGCGACGACACCTGGCTAAAAGTCAGCAAGCTGGAACCTTGACAGGGTACCGATCAACCACATCAGCCCATGGGTTGGCTTGGCACTCGCCAACCCGAACCGCTCTGAGCGCTTTCCAAACCGCGCTGTTACACTTGAAACCGGACCCAAACGCTATCTGCCAGATTCGGTCCCCACTGGAAACTCGTCCCTTGGCCTCAGTGTAGGCCAATTCGTACCAAAGCGAGCTGCTTGAGGTGTTTCCGAAGCGGTGAAGCGTCATCCTCGAAGGCTCCATATGCCAGTCACTGAGTTGTAAGTTCTTCTGCAGCTCGTCCAACACCGCCCGGCCTCCGGCATGTATACAGAAGTGTTCGAATGCCAGCTTGAAGTCTGGTATATAGGGTTTTACCCTTGACTTGAGGACCTTCTTTCGAACCAGAGTGATGAAGAACATTAATTGCTCGGAGAGGGGCAACACTAGAGGACCAAGCGTGGTTATGTTTGTTTTTAAAGCGTCGCCAGCAACTGCCATTAGTTCTCGAGCAAGAGATACTCCAATGGTCCCTTTATGGTCTTCTCTTTGGTACACACAGTTATAGCTATTGTCGTCAGCTCCTTTATGGGTTCGCACCGTGTGGATGAGCTGATACTTTGACCTTGAGCGGTCTCGACCCCTGTTCGATAAGAGAACGGCGGCTCCGCCCATGCGGAAGATACAATTGCAGAGAAGCATGGAGCGGTCGTTGCCGAAGTACCAGTTGAGAGTGATGTTCTCCGTGCTCACCACCACGGCATATGTGTTTGGGTTGGCTCTGAGTAGGTCCTTGGCGAGGTCGACAGATATAAGGCCAGCGCTGCAGCCCATCCCACCTAGGTTGAAGCTCTTGATGCCGCCTCCCATCTTGTAGTGATTAACGATCATAGAGGAGAGAGAGGGAGTTGGGTTGAATAAGCTGCAGTTCACGATTAGGATGCCGACTTCACTGGGTTTAACGCCGGTTTTGCTGAAGAGAGAGTCGAGAGCGCCGAACATGACAGCCTCCGCCTCGGCCCGGGCCTCCTTCATGCATAAATTGGGAGGGCTGGCGGTAATCCCTCTGGGAAAGTAGGTCTCGTTACCCAGGCCGGAACGGGTGCAGATCCGTCTTTGAAACTGAACCGACTCATCCTCGAACGCTCCGTTGTCTTCCGTCATCTTCAAGAACGATTCAACCGACATCTTCCGCTCATCTTCGGGCTTGTAGCAAGCAAAGTCTACTAGGTAAATCGGGCGGGGCCGTTTGACCCAGTAGAGCCCCAAGAGGAAGAGCGAGATGGCTACACCAGACCACCCAGTTGCCGAATCGACTTGAAGAACAGTAGGATTTATCCATATGTCGGAAACCCGGTCGAACCTGAGACCAGAGAGCTGAACCGACATGGCTACGAACAATGGAAGAACAAGAATAAACATCAGAAGGGTTGCGTAATTGCAAGTATACCCGTAACCCAACTTCACGTATTTGAGCTTGACGGACTGTAAGAAATCCGGCAACCTTCGCCGGATTTTTATCACGACAGACGACGAGTCTTCCCTAAACGCCATCTCTGCCGTTAGTCTCTCCTTATCCATCTCTATACTCCCCATCTCTCTCACTCTCTATAAGTCGTCTCGTTTGTTCTGCGTGGACAAAATGATTTGGGTTTTTCTTCAAGGATTTATAAAGACTAGAACTCAAGTAGCGGAAGGGATATCTGACGCTGTGACGCACTTAGTTGAGCGCACAGGGTCAGGGTGTAAACTACCAGGAGGAAAACGAGAGGTTCTCCAAGTAGAGAGTAATAAGAAAATTGGAGGGACCCGAGATGAGAGAGAGAGAGAGAGAGAGAGAGAGAAGAATGGGTGAAGAAGCGGGTGACGGGGCCGTTGTGTATTAGCTGCAGGAAAGCTGGATTTGCTGTGGAATTTAATGGGAGTGGTTCGGAGAAGGATGGATAGCTCAACAACCAAAGAATAAAAATATTAATATGATTTTTCTGAGATTTGATACAGGCACAGTTTTTTGTAGTTGCAGTGTAGTTGATTATAGGTGGGGACGATTGACTGATGACGGCCATGTGAGACGGTTTGAGTTTTCGTTCAAGTAAGATTGACCACAGCCTCACATAGGTATGGTACAAGTATATCCGCATATGCAACTAGACAATATCATCCCAGAAGCAGATAATTTCTTTTTTTTTTTCACTCATACATAAAAGGGAAATTTTCTGAGATTTTTTTTTAAACAAGAAAAAAAAAAAACAGTAAGGATGCATTCCTCTTAGTGAAATAAAACGAGGCCGGTGTGTGTAGGTGATTTGTGGTTAGGAATCATGAATGAAAGGATTGAAGTCAACGCGTCAAAACTCAAAAAGCAGACAGATTTAAGGCCCAAGCACGCAAGCAGGGGCACCGTCCTGCTCTAGTGCTCTCTCTCTCTCTCTATATATATAGATGAAACTCCAAATAACTTTGTGAGAGGAAATAGAATTCTCCCTTTGGTAATAGTTTATAGTTTATAAAAATCACATCTTTTTTACTAAAAAAAAGGGAAGCTGCTTTGCTTTTACACGTGTCCATGTCAGTGGTGTTACAAAACTCCCTCACGTGAAAAACACAAATTCTCATCACGGGAGTAGGGTTGGTACTGCAAACAGAGTTTTAATTTTTAACCGGGTCGGGTCTATTCAATATAATCAAATCTATCAACCAATAACCAATTTTATTGATTCTGGTCATGTCACTTGCATCTCAATTAATAATTGGGTTATGGGTCAGAATCAGTTCTGCTGTTCTGCTGTTCCAAACTGATTAGGACCGGAATGTATTATATAGGGTGCCGTTTGTCAAGTTTGTTTAAGAGGAAGATCTTCCAACAGCTTAGATAGCCAAATGTAATGAGTTTTTAGGGTATTATCTTTAAAAATGCAGATTGTTTGGTAAGCATCTTTGTTTATCATATATAGTTGTTAAATAAAAAATTTTAGGTGCATAGAAACAAAAAAAAAAAGCTTCATTTGAAGTTTTCAGATTTTAGGTCATTTTGGTGCTTCTGTGAATTTTTTAGAGCATACGTCTTTCTATGAGCTTTTTAGGGCATTTGTCAAGTTTCATGCAGCTTACAAAAATTATACTCAAATATATAGCACCTGATATAAAGGTTTCTTTTAAAATTTGCTATATTTTATATTTAAAAGGATAATTTCATTGGAAATATAGAAAATAATTTTGGTTAAAAATATTTGTGCCTTATTCATTTTCGAGAAGTGGGGATGGATAAGTTGATGAGTCTCACGGAAAAGAAATCAATTTACATTCATATTTTAGTATTAGTGGACAAAAAAGAATGATTCCCGAACAATTCATTTATCTATGCAAATAATACACTTTTTAGACTTGGATAAGTCACTTACCCATCCGTGTAAAAATTGTGAATACATGATGATATAATATTGTTTCTTCAATAATATCATTCTTTTTACATAAAATGGTAAATTTACAATCTTACATGGAGAATAAAAAAACATGAATAAATACAATTATCAAAAATCACTTGCTGGAATAAATGCATTTACCTATATAAATGTTTCATTAAGATACATGCAAGAACTTATTCGGACGTATAAACAATTTATCATTTAACAATTGTCATTTTATCAAAGTTAATAGTATTATACTATCAAAAATAAAGTTTTTTATTTTTTTTATCAAAGTTAATAGTATTATACTATCTAAAATAAAGTTCCAAGCTGTTGTGTAGCTGGGGTTTGACGAACACAAGAGACTTTACCAAATACCGACTAGCTAGTCGGCACCTTGCAATTAATAATTGGTTACATTCTGGGTTTATGGAAATTCAAATAAAATTAATAAATCGGCGGGTTCGGGACGGATACATCCCATCCCGACCCAGACCCGACACAAATGGAATCTCCAACTAAAAACCTACACTCCTGGGCCATGGGCCCAACGCGCTTGTCAACTAGTTATCATCTTCTGTGAACGACAAACGTGCGATGGACTTGTCAAAGCCACGTACATATAATAGTTTTTGTTTATTTGTTCCTGTTGTAGCCAATTGGTGGGACACCCCATCATCCAACGGTAGTAAGGAGGAGAGACTGTGGGAAGCACCGTCACAGGGTGGAACAACTACCACCTAAAATAAATATCTGCTAACCAATGAATCAATTCAGTTTAACACGTATGGACCATGGAGATCGACTGGTCCTTGTATCATAATTTTTTCCTAACTGTTCCAAGCTAACTGCCACCGACTGATTTCGGTGGTTTGTGACTTCTGATCGTTTCTGACAGCACTATTGGCATGATGTATAGTCCATCCATGGCCCTGTCATGTAGCGAAATAGAAGTATAAAACATGTGAGTTCGGATCTCTTGCCCACATCTACTCACATAACATCGCATCCATATATGAAGAATATTTTATTCTCCTATATAGTATTATGTAGAGAGATGTTTCTAATTTACGGACAGTGTTATGGGTAGACGTGGGCAGAGAGATCCGGAGTCAAAACATGTAATTGTTTCATCGGACCTAACGGATCAGATGTGGTCCTCCCATTATTAAGGTTGTGTTTGGAAATGGTTTTGGCTTAAACGGGTTTCTAAAAAAAATTACTTTTTGAAAGAGTGCGTTTTTAAGTATTTGACTGCTTACGAGTTTTTTTAGTTGAAAAAAAGTTAAATAAAGTTTTTTTTTTTACGGTTTTATTAATCACATTCTTTTTTTTTTTTGGTTTATGTAAAGCTTCTTCACCAAATGATTTTTTATTGGGTTTTGGCCTGTCCAACATAAAAAGCAGAAAAAGCCCATTAGGCAAACACTCACAAAGCCAGAAAGGCGATCTAACTAGCTCCCTTCTGTTCTCAAACCTTTAATTTCAAAATATTTTTAATTTTGTGTTACTTTAAAAATTGAAGTTATGGTAAATTATAAGGACCCCATACTATGGCGTTAGTGACAAATATCATTATACTTTCATTAACAAAGACCCTTTTGGCCGTTAAATCAGCTAATGAAAGGCGCTAAATTATTAAAATATCCCATTAAATTCTCTTTATTTTATTTTTATTAGCCATTTTCTCTTAAATAAAAAACACCTCCATTACTTCTTGCTTGAAAATACTTCTATAGTTATATAGCTATCATAAAGATAAAAAATACTAGACAATTTTGACAAAGTTGAGAACCTTCTTGTTAGATACCCAATTAACCTTAAACTCGCAGTGAATGGGAAAAGTAGAGTTACTTCAGTCCATTTGGACACCCACTCAAGCTTCGTTTTAGAACCTTATTGAAGGTTATAATCCCAAAATAGAGGAAGACGATGTTGTAAGGTTTGCAAGATTTGTAAGAGTAATGGTGTATACGGTTGGTGCTGCTGGTTCACGGGGGACACTCGAGAGTAGACCTGTTCATAGGCCTGGCTCAGGCTTGGATTTTGCCAAAATTTTAATGAGCCCGAGATGCTGAAAGTTGATCTTGAAGTGTGGCCTATGAACATGTCTACGAGTAGTTCCCAAACCGTGGGCCTTTTTTGTGAATCGAACTGGTAGTATCGGTTTTTGGAAAACTGGTAACTGGAACCAAACCAAAACTAATCAGTTAACCGATTGATCGGTTCGATTAGTCAGTTTTTCGGTTTTTTTGACTTTATAATATTTATTCTTGATTTCCAAAACTTATTTCCACTGTTTCTGTATTTAAAAATACCCCTTCTAAGTTCCACTGTAATCTTTGAGCAAAAAAAGTTCTACTATAATCCTCTAAGACAGTTCCACTTCCATTAATTCAAAAAATTATATAAAATATTATATTTTAAATAATAAATAATATATTATAAATATATATTTATATATATAATACGTATTTATTAATTTAGAAAAACATGTATACCGATCAGTTGATTAATCGCTGATTTTTTGAATTGGTTAATCGAAACCGAACCGACCAATTCAATTAACTGATTTTTCGGTTCGATTTCAATCGGTTTTTTGGTTTTTTTTTGCTCACCCCTATCTACGAGAGTATCCTTTCATTCATTAATTACAACAACCCACTGGAAGTATGTGTTGGTGGAACTGTGTATTGGATTGCAACAAGTGATTTGTATGGATTGATGATATCATTTCTTTTGACATTGAAGACGAACAATTCATTGATTCAAAGATATCCCAATTACCAATCTTCATCCTTCTAACCAAAGCAATTGTTTTCATGTTGGAAAAGTTAGTTCGAGTCTGATGTTGAGTCAATGCACAAAAGAGGAAGCATGATTTTTAAGCTAGAAGAATTGGGTGATTTTATTTTAAACAGCCAAATAAGATTTTATTTTAAATTAATTTTGTAAGCTAGAAGAATTGTCTTTCTTTAATTCAAATTTTGTAGAAAACTTTAAACAGCCAAATAAGATTTTATTTTAAATTAATTGATAGAACGCTAACAAAATGGGTCTTTGTCGCAAATGAAATTAATTACAAGGGTATTTGTCACTGTCTCCGGTCCTAATTTATCTTTAAAATTATTAGCTTTTGACTTTTGAGTGTCCTTTCTAAACTTCAAATCTAAATTAAAAATGAAAAAAATTGGCTAATATACAAAAATCTCTCCTAAAGTTTTTTAAAATCATAAAACCTCTTCTACTTCACTGTAAGAAATTCGACAAAAAACCTCTCTTTCGACTCAAACAAAAAACTTTAGTTGATGCATTAATTTTTTAAATACCAAATTTATCCTTTTACCATTGATTGAGACGGACAACCATAATTTCCATTTAATAGCCTACCACCATGACTGAAACAAAGCCTGTAAAGTCAAATTGAGCTCCGCTCTTGGCCTTCAATTCAACGCAAAGTAAGCCAAGTGCTTGAATTCTGGTTTTCTCTTCTTTTGTATGCTCTACAACTCCAATCATCCCATGGCAGGCGGAATTGTTTTTTGTTTTAGTTCCTTTTATAAATATCTAGGTGACTTGACAGAAGATGAAGAAAAATAAAAGAGATACCAGTCATCTCTGTTTTGGGGCACGCCTGAGCCATTTATCAAGACCCAAGATTGGCACTCAGCGTTGTGGTTGCCTGAGAGGCTGAGAATATTTGACAATGGCCAATTCCAAGTCGCCAGCATTACATGTTTTTCGACGTCGTTGTGCTGTCTAGTTGTATCCTCCCTCCTCCTCATAAATGCCAAGCATTCTCACTAGAAGCTTCGATTTCAAGCTCCTAAAGTCTAAACTCTAGCTATTTTGTGCAGTCCACAAACTTCGTAATAGGGCTATCAGAAGCCACTTTAGCTAGTGTGAGTTTAGTGCAGAAATTTCAATTAATGTTGAGTTATCAAAACTATTGAAGTTAAAACCATAGGCTATATGCAGAAATTAAACCTACAATTAATTAGGATATGGGTTTCTTCTCTTGTAGTTGTACTTAAAAATTTATTCTTTTTGAAATGATATTGAGCGAAGGAAAAAAAAGGTTATATTTAGTTGTTAAGTGGAACAAAAGAGTTTGGTTGAGTTGGGAGTAGAGCCACGCAGATAACAGATAACAAACAAATTGCTCCAGTATGATGGGCGCTTTCAAATTTGATAGTAATATCTTTGTCAACATTAGTGCTCTCCATTCCATATTTCCATCCCAGAAACAACATGGCTTGCCAGAGAACATGGGAGGTGGTGTGGGAATGGAGTAGGAGGGGTGGTAGAAGCCTAGAAGGTGTTTGTGGGTTTGTGCAGAAGCGTTGGTGAACCTAATAACCTAATGTCTTGGACTCTTTAGATCCAACTTTGTGGGTTTGTATATGCGAGAGGAGGAAGAAGAAGAAGAGAAATGAAGCAGTTCACAACTTCAACACATCGTCTTTCTCCCAGGAACCACTACAAAACTTAGAACAATCTTGCAAAATCATCTCCTTCGATTTCTACATATCACTTTCAAAGAAAGCCCATGATGAATTGGAACTCGATTTTGCTTCAAATCATCGCTTGCAATAGCTTCTCTGAAACACCAGCCATCACAAAGGATTTCTCTATAAGCCAGCACGATTATCTTTCGGTGGTGGTTCTATTTCCTCAACACTCTGAACCCTCCCTAGGAACCGGAGGATACAAGGTCAATCATGTCACTCCATGTCTGTTTGATATGTGGCGTCCATGTGTATGGACCAGACTACTTGTCCGGTACTATGAGTAGAAATGTAGACGATGGCAGTTCGCGTAGTAATGGTTAATGTACATTGAATTTGACTTTATAGGTTCTGTTTTAGGGCCTGTTCGTTTGCTCTGAAATCTGATATATGAAAGTATAATAATTACATTATGAGGCATATTGGTATTGGTGAATTTTTCTTTCCTCTAAACTCTAAATGTAGAGGATATCATTTTGACTCCATATATGAGAGTTATTGTTTGTCTTTTTGAGGGTATCATTGAAAAACAAAAAAATTGCATGATTGCACTCTAAAAGATAAGAAATAAGAGGAAACAAACAAACCCTTAGTCATGGTGGTAGGTTATTGAATGGAACTTATCGCTGTTTGTTTGTGTCCGTGGTAGAAGTGTAAAATCAGTATTTAAAAAAAAAATGGATGCATCAACTAGTGTTTTCTGTTTGGATCAATGATGGGAGGGAGGTTTTTGTCAAGTTTCTCAAAAGTTTAAGAGAGATATTTGTTACAATAAAACTATAGAGGAGGTTTTCATGATTGTCAGAAACTTAAGGAGAAATTTTTGTATTTTACCCTAAAAAATATATACTGATCAAATCATATGGCTCATGTCACTAAAAATGACCTACCAAATTCCCATTCCTAGGCTCCTTTTCAACTTAAAATAGGTCCAAATTATTTACAACTTTTAACTAGTCATAGGAAATTCCAAATATATTTATATCAAACTTGTTTCTTTTCAAATCTCATCGTCATCATCAATCATCATATCTTCTCTGTTGCAATATAGAGGTATTTTGCATCAATATAACATCTACATCTTTCTTTCCACTAAACTCCTTTCAACCAAACCGTACAAAAAAATTGTTAAAAATATCAGTAGAAGTAGAAGGCACCGGAGTCTGAACTTCATCAATCCTATCTAGGTTAGTAGGAGTTTGATATTTTCCTTTCAAGGGAGAGATAGAACGAGTCTTTCGGGACTCTTATACTAATCCATTTAGAGAAATTCTCTCGTCCTAGCACAACTCATGTAATGTTCTCTGTGTTCGATCCTCTCGTTGTCATGGATCCTAAAGCCCAAGGACGTTGCACCTGCTACCACGGTTCGTACAACACCTCACAGCCTTCTTAACAACTTATTAAAGGACTCTAGTTAAGTGTAAGGTTTGAATTTACAAATCATGAAGCTTCCCCAATTAAGAGAAGTGTACAAGTGCAGCTTACAACCCAATTACTTCTCATGAAAGCATTCTTTTAATTTCCCTCATACGTCGGAATAGCTGAAATCAGAGAAAAGATGGCAGGGGAATATGATAGGGATATTACGAAGAAGGAAGTCCGATCATCAGCAACTGTCACTTTTAAAATGCCTTAATTGTTTACGTAAAGATCACTATCAATTGGATATGCATGCCTTAGAGGAAAAAAAAAAAAAAGATGCACGATCTTTTTAAGATACCTTTTGATCGTGAAACCCACAAGGAGATTAAAGAAAACAAAAAGAACTGATTGCAATAACAATAATAACATGCAAATAGTAGCTAGATAGAACTTTAATTTCAAACTGACTTTTCTCGGCATAACTTAATTTCCTAACACGAAAGCACCCACCAGGGATCTTGTTTGTTGGTATAAGGGCAGATCCTATCATTCACATCCAACTTGACTGCAGCTCATTGATTTAGCTTTAGTTGTTATCCACTACCAGAAAGAATGCAATTAGTCAGAGGTTACCATCCAAGATGGAGAGCATTATGTTATGTGGGGTTTTTCAATTTGAACTTAAGGCCTCTTAGTTACATAGCTTTCAACCATTACCCATCATGCATGTCATGACTATTCATCTATTCATCAATTATTCTAAAAACAACATCTTAACCATATGTAACCATAGGGGTGTTCATCAAAAACCGATAAATCTGGTTAACCAAATTGACCTAATCGGTTTTGGTTAACCAAACCAGTGGTTAATTGAACAAATTGGTATTTATATATATTATAAATAATCTATATATTAATAATATATTATATATTATGTATAATATATTTATATTTATTTATTTATAATATATATTATAAATATAAAAACAAAAAAACAAAGAATCTGTTAGCGTATTCTATCAAAATTAGTTTCATTATCTCCTTCCTTCTAAGAGATAGCTGTACATATCTTATCTTCTCTTCTTTCCTTATTGTATCCTCTTTAGGTCACCGACCTTGTCTCCCTATTGTATCCCTATTATAATTAGCTCTATTATAAATAGAGCTGTAGCCTATTGAATAAATATATAAAAGATAAACTATTATCTTCTCCATCCATCCTTCTTGGTTCGTATCATGGTATCAAAGCCTGTGATAGTTTATCGGATCCGTCCCTCCACTTGAGCTTCGCCGGTGCCCTCTCATGAGTGCACACTGTCATTGCACCGGTTATCGTAGCACCTCGGGTTGAAGGCTAGCTCCCTCGCATAACCGCCCGTCGTGATCGTCGTCCTGTACATGACTTCTGGTGCACATAGAAAACTGAGATTCTTATTTGCTTCTTCTTCTTCAAGCCCGAAAGCAGAAGCAGGGTAATCTGGAGGTTGCCATATGGTGCACGGAAGCTTGTCGATCTAGCTTCGAGGATAATCACGAAAAGCGCCCAGTTGTTATTCTCGTCTGTGTTTTGCAAGGGTCTTCCTGCTCCACCGCCCGGTACAGAGGTGAACAGAGAACTCGACCGAACCGACGACTGAAGTTTGGATCCTCCGTCTTCCAAGTCTGCGACCAGAGCGACGGAACCGACGACTCCTCTGCTCCGGTTGGTTGCGGAACAAGCTTGGATCCTCAGTCCTCCGTCTTCCAAGTCTGCGACCAAACCAACGATTCCTCTGCTCTGCTCCGTTCAGAACCAACGACTCCTCTACTCCGGTTGGCTGCGGAACAAGCTTGGATCCTCTGTTCTCCATCTTCCAAGCCTATGACCAGACCAACGATTCCTCTGCTCTGCTCCGGTTGGCTACAAGCTTGGATCCTCTGCGACCAGACCAATGGCCGGCGAACGAGATCTTACCGGAAGTAGGGTCATCGAGGTAGATATCCCAGAGGGTGACCCAACCCGAATCAGGAGCTCCTTACTCTTGATGCCGATCAGCTTCTTCATCTGGTGGTTCTCCACTAAGGCGATAATGTGTTGCGTTATTCCTCCTTAAGCCAGATGAACCCGGCTTCCCTGTTGTAGCCCACCTCCTCCGTGCCGTCCAGTGGCAACAAACTCTGGGGCAGTAATAACCCCAGGCTGGCTGCATCACAAGCCCGACCTGAACAAGAGGTCACTCATCAGTGGGTCTCGTAGTAAGCCACTGTTTCAAAAGACAGTCGAATTTGAACCGACCCGGGCATTAAGCGTAAGACCCCAGGCAGCGACATCTCCTCCAGAAGCTCCAGTGATTTCTTCTTGCAGAGAGCATCTCCGCCTTCTCTCTGTAATTCTCAATTGCTTGACTTGCCATTGCTGTTGTCTGAGCTGGTCTTTAAGGCTTAGTTGGGGGAAGACAGAAACAAAATTAACTGAAGAAAGCACGAAAAGGAACACGGGTCTGAGCCTGAGCAAGAGCCCCGGGTCTACTTTGTTTCTTTTCCCGTGATTTGCGTTGCTCCAGAGTTTTGTGTTTCTCCTCATGGATTCGTCTGAAGTTGCTCAACATATCTCTCATCCCATCACTATTACCTTCGATGGCTCAAATTATGATTTATGGTCTCAGGAGATGTGCAGTTTTCTCAAGGGACATCTTCTATGGCGATATGTGACAGGTGAGATTCCCAAACCTACTAAAATTGCTGATGAAAAATGGGATGGAAAAAATCATCAAATATTGACCGGGTTTCGCAATACTTGTATTGCAAGCATCAAGTTGGAATTTTGCAGATATGACTCTCCTAAAGAGGTATGAGATTTCTTACAAGATCGTTATTCTATTTCTGATGATATGCATCAATTTCAACTCTATAGGTGTCTTCACCATATGAAGTAGCAACCTGAACAGACCATTCAGAGCTATGTCTCTGAATTACAAGTTCTTTGGGATCAGTTAGCACAGCGTGAACCTGAATGGGATAGTACCTCTACAGCTACTACTTATTCCAAGCTTCGCGATTGCAAACGTGTTTGGTATCTTCTCATGACTCTCAGGGATGAGTATGAACCTATTAGCGGTACTCTACTTCATCATAGCCCATTGCCTTCTCTTGAAGTTGTGATCAAAGATTTGCTCTCTGAAGAAACTCGTCTAAAAACACTCCGAGATGAGCGATCCTTATTATCTACTGATGTTGTTCTTGCTACTCTAGGTACGTCTGCTACTTCTTCAACTAAATCTTCTAAACGGACTTTCTGCAATTACTGCAAGAAGACTGGTCACACTATTTCTGAGTGCCGCCACTTGCAAGCCAAAAAGGCGTCTGGACAGAAGTCCTCATCCATGGGTTCTCAGGCTTCGAGTTCTACTGCAGTTGCTGCCATAGAGAATTCTTCTGATAACACTTCTCCAAAATTTTCTCTTAGAGAACTCCAAACTCTTCTTCACCAGCTCCAACTTGATTCTGGTATGCCTTCTAATTCAGTCTTGTCCGTCACTCCAGGTACTACCTCATCATGGTATTTTGATTATGCCTGTTGCAATCATATGACATCCAATTCATCACTGTTTACTTCCAAGTCACATCCTTCTATTGCACCAATCGTTCATACTGCCGATAGTTCCACCTTAACTGTCAAAAGTGTAGGCACTGTTTTAACATCTTGTTTGTCACTTCCTAACACTTTTTTGGTACCTAAATTATCTCTAAATCTTATATCTGTTAGACAATTATGTGGACTTGGTTTTGAACTACATTTCTCAAGTCGTAGTTGTACTGTGCAGGATCCACGGACAGGGAAGATCATTGGAACAGGCCGTAAGGTTGGGAGATTGTTTGAGCTATCATCTTTTCAATTACCATCTCTTGCTGCACAACCTGCAACCTCTCCTAATGCATCTACCTTGGCTATGGATCCCCCAGCTCTGCCTTCTTCTGAGCTCTTGATTCCTCTTGATGAATTTGACCCTGCTCATTCTAATGCTTCACTCCGTCACTCTGGTAGGGTCACTAAACTTCCATTCTTCTTCGTGATTTTCATTGTTATTCTACCATTGTATCTTTATATGAGCCTTGTACCTATCGCGAGGCTAGTACTGACCCTCTATGGCAGAAAGCAATGGCAGGAGAAATTCAAGCTCTTACAAGCACTCATACTTGGGATTTAGTTGACCTGCTTCCAGATAAATCCGTGATTGGTTGCAAATGGGTCTACAAAATCAAGACTCGGGCAGATGGTTCAGTTGAAAGGTATAAAGTTAAATTGGTAGCTAAAGGGTTCACACAGGAGTATGGCATTGATTATGAGGAGACTTTTGCTCCAGTAGCCCATCTCACTTCTGTTCGCAGTCTTATTGCGATTGCTGCAGCTAAGCACTGACAGTTATTTCAGATGGATGTTAAGAATGCTTTTCTCAATGGTGATATTTCTGAAGAGATTTATTTGTAGCTCCCTCCTGGTTATGATCATCTCCCTAATCAGGTTTGTTGTCTCCGTAAAGATCTATATGGACTTAAGCAGGTGCCTCGAGCATGGTTCTCCAAATTCAGCTCTACTGTTTGTTAGTTTGGCTTTCAATCTAGCACTTATGATCATGCCTTGTTCATCCGAAAGACCTCTCAGGGTTGTGTACTTCTCCTCCTTTATGTGGATGACATGATCATTACTGGCGATGATTTGCAAGGCATTTCCGCTCTTAAGACCTTTTTTAGCAAATAGTTTGAAATGAAAGATCTTGGTCGACTAACTTATTTCTTAGGCATTGAGGTTTCCTCTGACCAAACGAGATATTATCTGTCTCAGGCCAAGTATGCCACTGATCTTGTTTCTCGTGCAAGACTCACTGATACTAAGACTGTTACCACTCCAATTGAGCCTAGTGCCCATTTGACAGCCACTGATGGTACTCCTCTTAGTGATTGCACCTTATATCGGCAACTATTTGGCAGTCTTGTATACCTTACTGTTACTCGTCCTGATATTGCGTATGCTGTCCATATTGTGAGTTAGTTCATGTCAGCCCCTCGCCTTACTCATTATGCTACTGTGCTTCGGATCATCCGTTATGTCAAGGGCACTTTGTTTCATGGACTTCACTACTCCAGTTCTTCCTCTCTTCATTTGATCGCATATTCTGATGCTGATTGAGCCAGTGATCCTACTGATAGACGCTCCACTACTGGTTATTGCTTCTTTCTTGGAGATTCCCTTATATCTTGGCGTAGTAAGAAGCAAACGGTTGTCTCTCGTTCTAGTACTGAAGCTGAATATCGAGCTCTTGCTGACACTACCTCCGAGCTACTATGGTTACGATGGTTACTCCGTGACATGGGAGTTACTCATTCATCTGCAACCCCTCTTCACTGTGACAATTGTAACGCCATACAGATTGCCCACAATGACGTATTTCATGAGCGCACTAAGCATATTGAGACTGATTGTCACTTTATTCGTCATCATGTGCTCGAGGATACCGTTCGCCTTATTCCTGTCCCTTCCCAGGATCAGTCTGCAAATATATTTACCAAAGCTCACTCTCCTCTTCGCTTTCGTGCTCTCGTTGGCAAACTCCAGATGATTGATACATTACCATCTTGAGTTTGAGGGGGGATGTTAGCGTATTCTATCAAAATTAGTTTCATTATCTCCCTTCTAGGAGATAGCTGTACATATCTTATCTTCTCTTCTTTCCTTATTGTATCCTCTTTAGGTCACCGACCTTGTCTCCCTATTGTATCCCTATTATAATTAGCTCTATTATAAATAGAGCTGTAGCCTATTGAATAAATATATAAAAGAAAAACTATTATCTTCTCCATCCATCCTTCTTGGTTCGTATCAGAATCAAATTGGTCAACTGGTTAACAAATTGATTCGATTTAGTTTCGGTTTGGGATATTGCATAAACCATAAGGAGTGGTTTGGTTTGATTATACCCACGGTTTAGTGAGCACCTCTATCTAAGTGCCACCTATATATATATAATGTGACTTGCGATCAACTATTTAACCCATGACCTAACTAAGCACAACTTTTGTGTTCAATTTGAGTATTAAAACATTGGCAATAACTCAAGAATTATATAAGCATCTACTACAGATTACATAGCATTGCCTCATATCTTAAACCCTAAGGACAATAAATTGGTGGAATGTTTATTCCATTGAGGAAAAAAGAAAAGATCTCCCCATCTCACAATACATATACACAACACATTTGTCATCACATAGCTCACAGGTACCTCTTCCTCCTCCTCCTCTCCTTTCTGACATATGCGCATATTTTTTTTTTAAATTAAATCATTAAAAACATAACAACGTCAAAATTAAAACTCTCATGGGTATTCATTATCTCCATTAAATCCCTCTTTTCTTCTCAAATCTCTCTTAATACCTTTGCGCTCTCTCCCTAATAAAGTAGGGGTGTAAATTAGATGGATTAGATTATGAACCCTAGCTTGTACCCAAACTAATGTCAAAACCCATATTTGCCCACCCAGTACATGGAATGAAAGAATCTTCTTCTATAAAAATCTAAAGAAGTCATTGTTCCTTTCCGTGGATTGTTCTTTTTATTAGTGTGGATTCGTTTCATGGATTGTTTTTTTATTAATTTAATGTAGTCATTTCATCTGTTCAATTTTGAAATTGTTTTCTTTCTTTTTTTTTTTTTATTTTGTTATTGATCTCATGCCAAACACATTATTTTGGCTTTATAGGGGCTTTACAATGGGGGGTATCCCATCCCCCAAACCCCCCAACCCTAAGGGCAGTGGGATTTGACCCCAGTTCTTTGCTACAAGTAGCCAAAGAACCTATCAACTAAGCCATCATTAGATGCTTCTCATGATAAGCAGTTAACTTATGTGCTTTTCATAATATATAAGCTATATAAAAAGGAATAAGTTTGAAACTCAATAACAAAAAACAAAAAACAAGAAAAGAAGATCATTTTCTACTAGAAATATATAAAAAACTTTGGTAAATCACTATTACTTCGTTTTTCTTTGAAAATACATTTTTAAATAGTAGCTTGTGCATTGCAGGGATCACTGCTAGTTGAATTGGAAATTTGTAACATCTATATCCCAGAGGAAAAGAAGAAAAAAAAGCCACTTTAAAGGCCCTACAAGAAAAATTACTTCTTTCTTCTCACTCATCAAATATCCAGCTAAGCCATACCAAGAATTATACATTTTCCCCTTGTTATCTCAATCTTAACACATTATTTCTTTAGTAACATTACAGTAATTAGATTGGTTTGACACTTAGAAATACTCTAGATATCCATGCCTTCCATGGACTGCTACATAACTTGTGGAAAAAAATGACTAGACAATAAAGAAAAACAAACGCAATGAATTAGAAAAGTAGACATCTTCAATCTGGTTTTGGTTATGACCTACAGAAGCAATGTTAGAATATAGTGCATGTTCTCCAACAGCACCGATGCAAAATATTTGACAAATTACCTTGCGTCTTCTGTGATTGCTTCAGATTTCCAGACTACATCTTTTAATCCTGATGAGAAGCTTTTGTAGAACTGTTATTTGATCAAAGAGTTGTTGAAGAGATGTCAATTTGCTATTTCATTCAGGGCTAGCAAATGTTTTTCATGAAAAATTAGAAAGCTTGAATCTCTACATGCCTTATAAAACTCCAAGGTATCACCTCCGGTCTTTCGGAGCTCCACAAGATGCAGTGAAGGAGCCACTTCAAATACCTGAATAGGAAATATGAATACATTCTATTTAGCATGATCTACCTAAGAAGACTCCTTTTATTTCCATAAAAGCAATAAGCAATCAGCAGCATAATTAAATGGTGTCCACTCTAGCAAACCCTCTTTAGGTGTGCTACAAGTATTGGATGCTTACATGGGTCCAAGCAATGGACTTTCTTGACATCTAAATTTCAATGTGCACAATCAATGTTATTACATATTAGAGCTTGGGTAGCAAGCACACAAAGACATCTAATAAATGGTGTAGAAGTTATAAAAGAGATATCTCCATCAATTTATAGATCATCATATAAATAACTTAGATTCTTCCATTAATTTTAGCCATTCCATAGGTTCAAGTATTAAAAGATGTCTTCTATAAAATATTCAAGCACCATTATCTTGTTGATATGGCTACCCCTGGGGGACTAGGGCTGCAAATAGATTGGATTGAATTTGGATAGAGATATATCCAAATCTGATCCAATAAAAATCCTAGAGATCCAAACTTGAATTGATGTCTGATGGATATGTAAAACATTGATTTGGATTGGATTCGTTTACATATACAGTTAGCTGATTTGATTCGAATATCAGCAAATCTATAGAAAATTAGCATAAATTTACAAAAGTAATATAAAACGAAAAATATATACTATCAATATAAGATAGGTTTATCTGAATCCTAAATCCCTCTTATTCTAAAGAATTTTAATACTAAAAATTAAAAACGGGATTTATATTCGGATCAAGAAGCATCCATATGGTCGTTTTGTGTTGGAATAGATGCCTTTAGAATGGGCCGAGTTTTGTGGGTTTGTTATTCTATTGTTCGTATGGTTTGTAGTTTTGGGCCGAGATAGTTTGGGATTGGACCCGATCTCTTGGTGGTGGCATCACATGTTTAGAAGTTTTGTGACCTGGAGCATGGTTGATTTCAGGTTTGGTCTTAGGGCTTGTTTGTTTAGTGGTGTTTTGTCCCTCTCCATAGGCCTTGTATAAATACATAGACTTAGCTAGGCACCATAAGAATTGTGTTGGACACTCAAACAGTGACCAAAGCGTGCTTAGGTCACAGCACAAGCCCATAGTGCAATTCCGCAAGGCGACAGCCCTCAAATCACAATAGACACCCTACAATATGAAACAACAAATCGCCTCCATGACGCAGAACATAACTAGCTTTAGCATACGATTTGATACCAGTGATCCCCTGTGCTGTGATGACATTTAGTCTAAGCGCTGCGTTGCAACAGCACAGCCTTCCCATACTTGATTTGCAAAGATAAAATAGCACATGAAGGACCACAAAATCTTTAAGTCACAAAACAGGCTTTAAAAGGGGGTAATAGCTATATCATATGCGAATCCCGAGGGGAAGAGCAAGAACCCAAACCCTAGGATTTCATACGTGATTTAGGTATATAAATAGAGCAAACCCGAAGCCTTCCTCACGACAATCTTACAGTTTCCTTGCGTAAGCTTTGCCGGTTTAAACCCTTAACCTCCCTAAGCTCCCTTTACAGCTCTTCTTCCTCACTCTTCCATAGAGCCATCTACAGTCTTTTAGGTAGACCCAATTGTTGTCTTACCTGCTTTTCCCACACCTTGTATACAACTTATATTATTATATACTCTTTTTTCTAAAAAAATTCTACCTTTTCTTTTTCAAAAAAAAAAAAATCAAGAAGCACTCAAATACGATCCAATTGATAGACGGATCGTATTTTCAAATCCGATCCGACTATGGAGAAACGGTATATCTGAATGAACAAATCAGAACTCAAATTTGAATCGGATTAAATCCAATCCATTTCCAGTCCTATGGGGGACTTGAGGAAATGGGGTACCATAGTCAGATCTAGCCTATGGTAATTTATATAAATACCTGAAAATCCATAAATATCTATTCCTCTCTTCTCGAAAAACCAACCGAAATTATTTTTAGGAAAGAACTACAAGAAAATCTCTTATTTATAAGGAATAATACCTCTGTAGCAACTGAGAGACGGCCCTTTCTTCCAGTTTTGTCACCTCGCAACTTTATCTAGAAACGATTGACGTATAAAGAGAAATTCCACAAAAAATTATAATTGTAAACCTATAATGTTCTTTGCGTCTTTACTAGGAAATATAAAAAAGGAAAGCAAACCATGATATGAAGCTTGTAAAGAAGTTGCAGTTTTACCTTGTAGTTTTGCTTGTGCACATTGAAACCAAGAGGCTTTGCAGTTTCCTCAATTTTGGACATGATTTCATTTGCCGGGAATTGAGATGTAAACTGCGTTTCTCGCTTCACAAGACCCTACAATTAGAAAAGTAAATAAACAATGGAGTGTTTAGAATCTTCAGAAGAATATCAGTGTTGCAGCTAAACAAAAACGGGAGGTTTTGTTGAATGATATCATTGGATATGAAGACTTGTTTTTTTCCCCAACTTAATGATATCATTGGATATGGAGACTTTTATTTATTTTTTCATTATTTTGATAAATCTTTTGTTGAAGTAAGCTAGAATCAAATCTGCCACGACAGCTCATTACAGAGTTCTTTCCAACAATCCAGTTGAACTACAGGTTGCATGTGAGGTACAGTTTTAAGCTTAATTGTCTAATGGTTGTGAAGAACAACTTCACAACTTATGACTTGGTCACTGATATAAACGTTCCTGTTCATATGGCATCAATACTCTATTTGTTTTTGGTTGAAAACACCAATAATCTTTATAGAGCAAAACGAACATGGAATATAATTAGTCATTTTTAGGAACATACCATTTGTTTCTCAAATAAATTCTCAAGACTAAAACCCCGTGACCTAGAGATAAGCTCAAAAGCATTCATAGATACTGGTTTTTCTTTCTTTTCTGTTACAAGGTATTCCTGAAAAAAAAAAAGAAAAAAGAATAAGTAATAAAGAACTTTCAGGTGACACTTTCAATCTGGAGGATTAATAATCTATTGGGTTAAGTTATTATAAGACAAAATAAAATTCAAGCAAAACTTAGAATCGACTTGATTATTTTTGTGAATCTGACTATAGTTAAGAACTAGACTGAAGCATGATATGTAATAGGGCATGAATGCCAGAAAATAGACATTCTAATGTCAGAGATGCTACTAAAACATGTGTCTCACTTTTTTTGTTGAAAAGATGGCATCATGCCAATAGCTAAGCCAAGGTTAAAGCAAAGGGTGAATGAGAAACCTTACCTCGGATTCATTAAAAACAGCATTAACATCATCAAGGTTCACATCTTCCTCACTTTCAAAATCTGGTGGCCTGTACCCTTTCTTAAACCATTCATTTTCTAAAATTTCTGGAATTGTTATCCTCTGCAAACAAATGAATTGAAGATTAGATTTCAAAATCAAGTCCTAGAATGTTTGAGCAATAGCATGTCTGAGCCCATATTACAACTCTTCATACTTGAGCACACATTTCATAATGGTAATTATATTGTGAGAAGAATAACTAGTTGATCTAGGAAACTTACTGTGAGAGGATTTGGGTCAAGAATACGTTTGATCAGTTTCTTTGCACTGGAAGAAAACCATGAAGGACATGTAAAATCAGCCCTAAAAATCTGCAATTTGAACGAATCTCATAAGTTCTTTCACTAATGAGATTAATTAAGAGTATGAAACTATCAAACAAAACTACTGAAATTTTTACCTTTTCATACAAAGCTATAAGGTTTGACTCATCAAAAGGCAAGTAACCAGCCATAAGAACAAAAAGAATGACACCACATGACCATATATCAGCTGTTGTACCATCATAACCTTTATCCTTAAGCACCTGTAATAAGTATCAAACAAAAGGAATCCAATGGGTACAAAATTCAGCATTGCAACAAATCATTTTAACCACCAATACAAGACATATGTAAGTACCTCAGGAGCAACATAATTTGGGGTTCCGCAGGCAGTGTGTAGCAGCCCATCTTCCTACATGATAGTTAGAATGTTTAGCATCTTATTATATAATACTTGGAAATTACCTATAGCATAGAGAAGTCTTCCTAGTGGTAAGCTAGCCTGCATATTATGCAAGACAATCTGAAGTCAAACTCACACAAGAAGCAAAACTAAATACATGTGAGGTTGTTGGATCTTTGAACACTCTCCACGTTAAAATTATTGTGTGCTGCATTATCTCAAGACAAAGAACACATATCTTATTTGCAAGTTAATTATCGTTAATAACATTTTCAAACTAGGGCTGTAAACAATATCATATTGTTTGAATGAGGCATAAGCCTTAAGGAGTCGCACCATTAAGGAAAGCATATCATAAAGAGGGAAACTATATAAAAATTATGCAGAATTGAAAGGGTATATTTTTATATAGGAAGAGCATAAATGAAGAAATGATCATCAAGGACAAATAAAGGTTATTATCCTCAATACTCTTCTTTAGAGTCTTGGACATTGGATATGAGTTAGAGTCTTTATCCTTGTATTTGCTGCTTTTGAGGGGTCAGGTCACATCCTCCCACCCCTCTAGGTATTTTTGTGAGTATTAATAAATTTTTATCTTTTAAAAAGCAAAAACGAAAACAAATGATCATACAAACAATGCCTAGAAGAACAGTATATAGGAGCTCTAGAGAAAGTCATCCCACAGGAATCATTTTTAGTAACTTCTAAAACAGTCTAAATGGTAAGTAAAGAATAGATGCAAATGCACATATATAAGCATGCACACACACACAAAGGAACCTCAAGGTGAAAAAGATGTTACGCTTTTTACATGAACTTATGTGGTTGAGCCTTTTCCCTTGTGCACATTTAAAACAATGCTCTGAATAAGCTGAGTTTGAAGGTAGAGTCCAGATTGCTGATGAAGTCTCTAGCTGGTCATAGCAGAGACATATATAGGATCGAGTCCCACCTTCACCCGGGTTGGGGGGGGGGGGTCTAGACTATGGGGATGACTACCCTAAAAAAGCTATTTTCCAATATTGACTATACCTAAGAAAACATATCCAACGAAAAACACAAACTTACCCGTACTTGTTGTGACAGTGCACTCAATCCAAAGTCTGATACTTTAAGAACACCATATGAATCCAGAAGTAAATTCTCAGGCTGCAAATCAAGCAAACCTAATGAATGAATATGTGGTGATAATTGTATAGCATAGAGACATTAAATGCCCAATATAAACGAAGTAAAAATTTTAACATATTAAAATCTAGTCAAACCTTCAAATCTCTATGGTAAACCCCCCTACTATGGCAGTAATCCACAGCATTAATGAGCTGTTGGAAGTATCTCCTAGCTTCATCCTCCTTAAGTCTCCCATTATTGACCTAAGTATCAAAGAGCTGATAAGGAAATTTTTACCAAGCCAAACTTAAACAAATGCAAAACTCTAGATACCCTACCTTGACATGCAAGAACCAATTGCATTCACAGCAAGCAAACAAACACATGATTAATGCTAAATTTAAACAATTGCCACCCAATTATATCACCCCTTTAGGCCATGATATGGAAGAATGGAATCGATGTTCAAATATAGTAATCCTACTCAAAAAAGTGCACATGCATGGAGAAAAAACTGGACAAGTCGACGGTTGTACAGGCTAATATGGTAGGTGGTATGTTACACAATTTAGAGCTTGAATGAGTGAAATATTTTCTCTGACCATATAAAACCAAACAACAAAGTCTTACTATTTTGTCAAACAGCTCGCCTCCATCAACAAATTCAAGCACAATGTATATCTTGGTCTTGCTTGCCATCACCTACAGGCAAAAATAGACAGATACAAGCTGAGACTTATGAAGCAATTTACGGTATATAATATATAAACATCAGCTACAACACAGTTTATATCGGTTAAGTTATCTAACCATTCAATGAACTAATATACCCCTTGTCCAGCACAATTGTCGCTGGTCGTTGTCAAATAGTATGAGTAGAAGCATGGACAAAATTGCACTGGAATCCCATCGAGAGGAGGTAGTTAACTCTATTGTTGGTATTGTTTAATTGAATTGGGGAACTACTTATGCAATCATATCCTTGCTCGATAAACAGCAGGAACATGTATCTGTTACGAACATACAACATTTCCTAGCGACTTTCTAATAAAATGTGATGCACTAGCAATAATTTTAAAATAAAAAATCAAATAATTTATTATTAGATCCTTTATATGTCCGCTTGAGTTGGGATCTCCTACCAAAAATAAATAAATAAATAAACAAAAGGGAACGTTCCTACATGATCTGTGGCTGCAAATCTCATCATAGGAAGGAAATCTACCATGTATGAGATGTGCAGGTACATGTCACGTTAGAACGTTTTGGAGGAGATCCGGACTCTGTCTGCTCCATCGATTTCTGATTGCTGCAACTGACTTTCTTACAATCCCATTAAAAAGAACACGCGCCATATATGGAGGAACAAGATGATGTTAGGAAAGTCTTGCATTCACACTTTGGCTTCTGAAAATGGGGTGCCTTGAATATCTGCTCACTTATTTGAAACTAGGGAAAATCTATGATCCCAGAAGGATATAATACGAAAAGGCTTTGACCAAGTACAACCTTCCATGAATTTTGATGAAAACTCACAGAGTGGTTACAATTTTTATGATGCCGGTTGATTGGTTATAATTTTTTTTTGGTATCATGTTTTTTTTGGCGTCATAGTGGAACCTTTGCAACTATTATATTATTGTATAATGCATTTTGTACCAAAAGGCCCAAAACATTTTACCTCCATTTCCATGTTTTTAGGGTCCAGTCCACTCTAGCCCAAGCTTGCATCAGGCCCAGAAATTAGGGGCACGCTTATCTATCTATCTATCTAACTAAGTTGAGGGACTAAGTGCCATGCATTGGGATGAGATCTGCTGCTGTTGAGCTATCTAACCAATCATGCTAATGGGTCATCTAACCAATCACAAGTGAATACACCAGTGTTTCATAGGGTTTTTGTTTTGCCTGTAATTCACTCGCATCTTTAGAGCAGATCCGGGTTTGAGTGTCACTACCCCCTAAGTACAGTGATTTACCCCCACAAAATCAAAAAAAAAGAAAACCCACTAAGAAAAGCAGATGCAGAACAGAATAACTGTCTTAAGTCGTATAACATATATGAGCTCAGTCCATCCTCCCAATGCCCACCTCCTTACTGATATTGATTCTTCAAAACACCTTTTAATTGAAATGAAACACAGGCACAGCAATGAAAACAAAATAACAAAGCAGTTGGCTGATATTTTGAATTTGTTTCCATCCTTGGTATATTTGTGTTCATTGGAGGGTCACTAAATGGCTAGCTAGAGACAAAATCATAAACAGTGGGCTGGGTAATATCACAGATGAACACAGCAACACGCTAGTATTTCATACATATAGGATCACATTTTATGCCTACAGAACACTAGTATATTCTCTCACAAGGTTTTAAAAATTGGATCAGACGTAAAACCATTTTGGCCACTGGTTCTTGGGTCAAACGGTCTGGTCATTCAGTTGGAATGGACAGCCTGTTTTGATTGAAAAATTAAAAATAAAAGAGGCCAAAAATTATTGTCTGGGTCTATAGGTCAAGATTGACCAAATCAATGATTTTTGGCCCAAAAACTGTTTTAAGGTGAATGGAACCAATTGTTTAACAGGTTCCCGGGTCAACCGGTCAATCCAGTTTTCAAAACCATGTTCTCTTATGATAGATTGTCTAACTAGTAACCAGATGGATTGAATACAAAATCATATACACTAAACACATTAGTATTCTATACACACAGGATTCACATAGAACTCACACATTATCATTATGCATATGGTACACTAGCATGCTCACTGGTAATAGGTTGTTTAGCCCAGTCTGCATAATATTGTCTCCACCCAATCGAACTCCGCAAAGAAATGCTGTCGCAAGAGATGGAGAATCGGAGATGCACGTAAAACCACAAATTCCAGTGGGCCTCAAACTTTTTTGTTTGTTTCATATGAAACCACAAAACGCATTTATTTTACAATTTATGGTGTCCGTACTCCCTGAACTTTTTTCTTTTAATTTTCTCTTAAGTTTTAATTTTGTAAACACTTCATGCATACACTATGATTCAAACATGATGATGGGACACTATAATAGATTGAATGCCGGTGGAAGACGCATGCTCGTGCAGGAGAAAGAGTACTTTATTGTATAGTACCTCGTAAAGCTTGATTACATTTGGATGCTTGATCAACTTCATGGTTGAAATTTCTCTTTTAATCTGCAAATAAGATCCAAAAAGAGAAAAAAAAAGCACACTAACAAGTAAGTTCTCAAAAAGAGACAGAATAGTTTATAAATAGTTATGTTAGCTGGAACAAAACAACAAAAATATGTACAAACTACAAAGTGTTATTAAAAAAATAAAAAATTTTATATGATTTCAAATTAAAAAGTAAAATAAATCTCGCCCGAACAGTACTAATAAGTTCCTCACATGTCACCCAGTCACTGTTCCTAAATTTACAGGTGTGCTAATCTAGAACGACCTTTAAAAAACAATTGATAATTATAGATAAAGAAACCATGGCAAAGTCTAAACGATGATTATTGTTTGCCTTATTCTACAGTAATAAAAGTTCATTAACTCAGAATTGAGAGAGAGAGAGAGACCTGTTCGACCATCTTATGGCGGAGGACCTGAACCTTGTCGAGGACCTTGATTGCAACGCTATCGCCAGTGTCGACATTTTTGGCAAACTTCACCTTGGCGAAGCTGCCCTCCCCAAGCGTTTTCCCGATCTCGTATTTTCCTATCCGCGTGTGGCTTCCGTGGACCTTCCTGCTCATTTCGCTCTCTATGCTGTATTGTATCGCTGTTTCTCTCTCGCCTCCGATCAACAACGTTCCGTCACACTTCGGTAGTTCTCCTATACTACTTCTGCCGTTCTGCGTCTCTTCTTCTCTCTCTCTCTCTCTTTCCAATTGAGTTAACTATCTCAGTATCTCTGTGTATTTGTACGAATGACTGATTATTAGAAGGGACTATGATGGAATCAAGAAAGAATCAGGTATGCAGAATGCGGGATGGATGTACACGGAGGTGGGTGGGACCAGCATTCCAACGTACACATCCATCAGGAGAGGATTTTCGATTCATTTTGCGTGTTCTCTCACCCTCTCTCCTCTCCTTTCCGTGTTAATTCCGTGGGTGTTTGTCTTTATGTGTGTCAACGAAAATCAAATTTGTTTCCCAAAATACCCTTCCTCTTCCGTGGTGGTTATTGAACAGAGCCGTGTTAAGTGGCCAAGTGCCCATTTACGAGAGCCATCAGTTAATCGTTTGAAGCATGGTTTTCAAAACCGGATCGAACTGAAAAACCGGGATTTGGTTAGATGATCGGTTTCGTTTTACTTTAGAATCATTATTTCTATCAAAACCATTGAGCAATTGAACCGTTCAATGGTTTGACCGATTTTTATTTATTTACTTATTTTTGTTAAAATAGGCCATTCATTCAGTTCGAATGATCAAGCCATTCAACTCGAGATTCGAATCCTTAACTGATTTGTTGTCTGAGTCAATTTTAAAAACCTTGATTTGAAGAACCATCTGCTTCAGTCTCTTCTAATAACTTATTTGAAGCGCTTGAAAAAAACTCAATTAACATCGCTGAATCTTCAGCTCAGCCCTCCAAACAGGTCCTAAATAGATCTTAAACTTCAGGGGAGGTGGCTTTATTATATGGATCGGAGCAATCGAAGCTACTCATCGCCTGTTACATGAGCTAGGCCACCCCATAAATCCCTCTCTAGACAAACCATTATTCAGTTCCACCAGTGGTCGTGTAATGCAACCGATATGAAAATTAAAGATTCTCTCAAGAGTCATGACACTGATGGTGTGGCTTATGTTCAATTTGATTGGCCTATACATGGGAACCTAGGGGTAGGCTTATGTCATATATTATAGTGAATAAAGAGTTCAATCACTTATGCACTAGTGACCGAACAAAAGAAAAAATAAGTTTGTTCAGTGATAGCACTCAGATCTAATTTGAATCAGAATTGGTTTGAATATATCCCAATCCGATCTACTATACATTATATATTATTAATTTTTTTACTATAATCAGATTCTAATCGGCTATTCAATAAGATGTTTGAATTAAGTCAAATTTGAGCCATAATTTTGGAAATCTGATAATTTTTACTGAATTCGGATTTCTTATTAAATTGGATTGGATATACTCTTTACTGAATCTAATTCGATTCATTTGCAGCCCTACTCAGTCGGTTCATTTTTGGGATGACTGTGTGGTTAAAGAAAATGTTGTGGCCTAGGATAACCACCAGACCGCAACACACTGATTACTGGCTTGTTCACTCTTGGTTAGAAGATGATTTCAAGTTTGAGATTGGTTGTATCCAATGAAAGCATCATATCTATTATTGATGCAGGGTGCTTTATTTTGCTCCCTAGGTATTTTTGCCTTTTCAAATGTTTGGAAATGGTGTAAAACATCATCGATGGAGTTTCACTTTTACACCAAACGTAAAAAGGTTCTGACCATTGAGCTTTGACAAATGTGGCATCTTTTATTAATTTGATCAATATAGTATTTACATCGTTAATTGATGTAAAATTTTACTTTAGATGAGGTTTTACAATGTAAAACTCTACTCCATTCAAAGGCTGATAAATCTAAATCATAAGTAGGGTTATACATTAATCTTGATTTACACTCCATCCAAATACCAATAAAACCGAAACCGACATAAATTTTTACATCGCTTCCAAATGCAGCCTTCATGGTGGATGTTAAAGCTACAAACACAATGCTCAATATTCAAAAGTTTTCAACAAAACAAGAGGCGTTGCTTTGTCATCAGTGGTGAAAAAAAACGAGGAAATGCTATTTTTAACATCAGAAAAACTTTTGTATAATATTATTGATCTTCTTTTTCATTGAAGGCAAAATATATATATATATATATATATAATTATCAAACCTTATGAAATAACTGTCCATCTAGCCCAAAATATACTAGCATCATCTAGAGTGAAATTTAAGACTTAAAATCTGTGTTCCAAATAAAGGCTTAAAATCAATGAAGGTCTGCTTCCTTTGTTTGAAGTTTGGCTATGATGAGAGAGTGCATTCCGCTTGATTTTATTTAGAGAGGGATATAAAAGTAAAACAAAAAGAAGACCAAGTGGAAGAGAATGGGTTACTCAAGTAAATTGTGGAGCCTGGTCCCTAAACCATAATCAATCTATTGCGAAAATATCCAAACACCAGAAAAGGGTGATTTCGAAATTTCAAATGATATCCCAAGCCGTGCATCGGTACGGTAAATGCAATTATTTGAAACGTCTCAATAAATGGAGTCAGCTTCATGACTCGGAGGTGGGGATGGTTGGCGATGAGGTTGTTCTTATCCTCTTAATACCTTCCATGACGTGGAGGCGGAAGACTGTGGAATGTTGTCTCATTCCGCCACCCTCACGTTCTTGAGTGGCCCTCTTTTTCTCTCCACATGTAGTCTAACCTTAAAAGCAGTGGTTCTATATCCCGGAAGGTGTTATGTGAGTGTGATTGTGATTGTGTTTGTATGTGAGAGAAAGATAAGAGTATGATGTATAAGAGACAATGTTGTATTTCATTCATTCAAATAAAATAAATTGAAAAATAATGTTCAATTCCTATCCAATAATGCTTGCGATTAACTAAGAGTCATTATTGCTCTTGGCCTAAATGTTTTCTTGGCTAAGCCTAAATTGTAGTGGGTATCTCTTCAAAATTCAAATACAGATGTAACAAAGATGAGATGCATCATCAACTTATTCATATGGACAACTTGGATTTACCTATTCTAGGAGAAAATATATAGTTTGATTAATTTCGTTTTGTTTCTATGTGTCTGAGTTGGTGATGAAATGTACTGTATGTTAGGAATTTGGGACAAGATAAGCTATGTCCCCCTTTTAATTTATATTTTTCTTTTTGATAATGGTTAATAAAATTTTAATGTTGACCCCGGTTTTTCTTTTTTTTTTTTTTCATTCATAAGCTGGAAAAAATTACTGGAACAAAATTAGTATAAATAAATTCCAAAATGCAGTTGTCCATGTCATCAGCCTACTTTTTCTTGCTTCTTTACTCCCTTAGAAATACAATATGGACTACTCACAATTGATTCAGTTTCGTTTTTATTAAGATACCTATAAATACCTAAAATATGGTCATCTATATCTATAGAATCATTCTTCATTAGACCTGTGTCCAACCATTCTTAAAAAAGTGAGACTAGTTAACCCTACTCTCAAAAAAAAAAAAAAAAGAAAAAAACTAAATTTAGATATATGGTTATTTATAAAAAAAAGGTACCCATTTCAAAAGGAAAGACTTAGTAATATACAAAGATTTTCAATAGTGTGGGTTCCATTCTTTTAGATGAAAACATTTATCAATTATAAATCTGATTTAACTTTTAAAATTAAATAAGTCAATAAAATAAAATAAATAATGAGTCTCAAATAAAGTGAGTCATTGTTTATTACAAATACAACTCCATTTAATCTCTTAAATCAAATAAAGAAACAACGCAAATTGATAATGGGTGTCAAACATAATAAGTCATAATAGATTGTCAATTGCAAAGATGGAGGGTCCATATTAATCTATAATTTAATTTCCTAATTCAAATAAAAATCATTACAAAGACTCGATGGTGTGGTTTTTTCTTTTAACCGAAGTAGGGTGTCAATTACAAATTAAACCTCATTTGAATATTTTAATTAAAACAAGAAACTCAAATAAGACATACTGGATATATAGTAAGTCTCAAACAAAATGATATATTATAGTTGCCCATACATAGTATAGGGTCATTCTATAGTTTTTATAACAAAGAAAGAGAAAAGAATTAAATATAAGATGATGACTTGGTCTTAAAGCTGTGATGTGGCCCATGCTTAACCTACAAGTTTGGACAATTTAATCTCCTAAAAAGATTAGGTGATGAAAATTATCTAGGTAATCAACCATACTAATTAATTGTGAGGCAATTATGTACACTCACCATTTTGTTTGAGATTTATTATTTATCTAGTAAATCTAATTTGAATTCCTTATTTGATTTAAAAATTAAATCAAGTTTAATTTGTAACTAACGATTTATTTCATCAAAAAGAATGAGACTCACAATATGGATGGTCTCTGTAATGAGCTTTTTATTTGAACTAGTAAGTGTGTATGTACTTTACATGTGGAAAATTTTGATGATGATAATAATGATAGTAAATAATATGTTTTAAAACTTTTTACAATTTGTTTATATTTATATACCTATAAAAATTATTCTTATTTGTCACATTTATTTTTGTTTAATTAATATGATGAATATACAATGTTAGAGATGTACCCATATGTTATATACACATTTTTTTGTATTTTTTTTATATTTTTGTGTGTTTTTATATTTTTAATCCTTATTATTATTTAATTATAACATCAAGGATTGAAACATTTGGCCCAAAAGGTTGAATTGTTGACTCACCACTAAACAAAACAAGAAAATAACTTCATTTTTTTGGTTGATTTTAAATTTATATTTTATTTATATCATCAACAAAAGCAATTATTCTTTACCTTATTATTTTTCTTTAATATGGTTAATTAATATAGGATACAATGAAATAATGGGGGTTAAAACTATAAATATAAAGCTTGAGAGGGAATTAAATCAGAAGAAAAATAGTAGTTTAAAAATTACAATTTGTGTCATCACAGTTATAGAGAAACCAAATTCAAAAATATGGGTATTCTAGTCAAGAATAGAATTCGATGAATGTTAATGAGAGTTAATACCTTACAACTAAAGAGGGATAAAATTAAAAAATTAGGGTATTTTAATCAAACAAAAGTTTCACACTCTCGTTCGCATTTTTAGTAGTAGTATAGATTAGTAATTGAATTAGATTAATATTGGTCTCATCGGTACTTCATTTAGGGTTATTTACTTAGACACCCCTATGGTTTCAAATATTCACTAAAGCATACCCTCTATATAAAGCCTGAAGCTCAAGCCCGAAGCCCGATCTATACACAAAATGTCTTATTTTCAGTATATATTTATAAACTAATATTATATTAATTTAGTAAT